ACTAGGAGAAATGAAGCTACTAGTAGCTCCTGGCCACTGGTACTAGGAGCAAGGATGCTACTAGGAACAAGGGCATCAGGGCATCGCTACTAGGAGCAAGTAGCTCCTGGCCTTGCTACTAGGAGCAAGGACGCTACGAGGAACAAGGGCATCGCTACTAGTAACAAAAGGCAATACTACTAGTAGCACGGGTGTGTCGGGACACTGGAGGCCTCTGATTCCACGGATACACCTTCGAAACAAAGGTATGACGCCACGCCCGAGGTCGGTGGCGCATAAATAGTCTCCAAACACCGTACCTCAGGTTCGGTATGTGTCTGAACATGCTCCGGAGGTGTGTCAAGTGGGCGTGTAGCTCGAACGAACTCCTGGAAAGAAGGGACATAGAACAATGCCCGTGAGGGTTATCACTATATGACAGAAATAGACACCCTTCCATGGAAGGGGAGAGGCTTCTGGGTCCACTTGGACGGACGCAAGTCGAAGCCGCACGTTTTGCCCATCGACTTGACTTTCTGCCCCAAACTCGCTGACCTGGACTTAACATGACTCAACTGGGGCATCTGGAAGCTGATGCCATGGGGGTACGTCACATGGGGGGTTCTTCCCATCAAGACCGTTCTGAGAGGGTACAGAGAGGGCCCCCAACTCCTTTGAGATGTCCAGCTGCAGAGTTGCTATGGAACAAACCCCTTCAATGCAACGGGTCGTCGCCACGGTCGCCCAGCAACACCGTCTTCCCGCGGCCTGCAGCTTGAAGAGTCATCGCTTTGGAAGCTCCTCCAGCTTGACGGGTACCGATCAGGCCGGTCAATACATGGAGATGTCTCGTGACCTCTTGGGGCTCCGAGGAGTCACCGACCCGTTTGGGGATCCGTTTTCGTCCCGTACCTCAGGTACGGTGATGTGCTCGAACCTCTCATGTCGGTTTTGAGGGTCCAGTCGTACCCTACCTGAGAAGGTACAACTGGATCCCTAGGGCCAAGAATCATTTCTATGGACCCAGACCAGTTGCTTTTCCTCCAACTGGAATGAGTCTGACGGTCTTTCAACCGGGACACACCGAACATGCTTCTTCCCACCGAACATGAACAGAAGAGATGAATAGACGACTACTAAGCATGGTCAATCTACCAGGGTTTCCGTTCCGGGCTGCCATGACTGCCGACCTTAGACCTTTCGCCGCCAAAGCTGGGGCACGCTGGGGCGCCTTTGTGGGCTTTCGGATGGGACCCCGGTATTTTGGAGTCACCGGACTAGCTCCTGGAGCATCCAAGAGGTAGATGTCTTTACATAGCCCAGACAATCCATGGGACTGAAATATTGACCTACATTCACCCCTGAAATCAACCACCCCATATGTACTAGAGGTATATGCCTTCCAAGAGGTGTGGTATAAAATCGCCTCAATGGAACGAGGTGATTCCTTCGGTGGAACGGAAGGTCCTGGTATGGACTCCCTATAGATCCAGGGATCCACTCGGTGATGGGAGACTCTTCGATGGGAGGAGGCTCCAGTCGTACCTTCGTGAAACGAAGGTATGTGGATCACTAGCAAGATTCATTCATAGCGCGTAGTAAGCCATTCCTGCGACAGTCTCAAGATAAACCCATTTGTCCCAGATTTGGTCCTCGCATGCTGTCCAGAAAGGGGGAGACCTCTGAAACACTCTCACATCTTCAGTGGGTTTCTTGGCTTGGACAAGCCAAGCCAATACCCCTCACGTCTGGTTGGGAAACGGCGTCTTCGACCCCGGGGGTCGACCTACCAAGGCATATGCGATAGAACCTGAGGGATCTCTACTTTTGGACCACCCCACCACCTCAAATCTGGTCCAACTTCCTAAAACGGGGGTCACTCATCTGGGTTCCAGGCATGATCAATTCAATCCGTGTTTTCTTCCTCTAACCTTGACAGCCTTCTTCCAGGGTGTGGGAATCAGTCATTTAGTCCTTTCCTGAACGAGTCTCTGGGTCCAAATGCATCCGGATTGGAGGGATTTGGGGTCCAAAGTAGTACGAGATTTTTACACATACCCTTTGGATCCACATACCTTCTGAGAAGGTGTTTGGAGCCTATTATGTAGGTTTGGAGGGCTAGAAGGTATTTGGATCCATACGGATATCCATTTATCCCTCCAAATTCTGGTATATCTGCACTCTGTTATAATATTTATGGATCCGATTGTTTTTTTTGCTGTAGACACATCACTCTGGTCTACCGTGATCGATTATTCCATTGTTTTGTTGCTTTCACACCCCAGGATGTTGCCCATTGAAATCACTCTTTTCTAAGCCTCCCGACGCAGTGCAATTCCAGCCGGGGAGTCGTGGCGAAGACGGCGCTTCTTCACTGGAGGAGGGGTGGGCGGCAGGCATGACACTTCAGTGGTTTCAGAATGTGTAAATTGTAAAGTATACAATGTAACAAATACATATGTATTTATATATTATATACGTTATATATATATAGAGAGAGACATCTTAAATATGTTTGATTCAATTCGCGGTTTCACTTGCATGTTTCTGCTGAAAAGTGTATCCTTTTCGACTTGACCAACCTTTCGTCGTTTCTTCACCTTCTACCTTTTGTCTCTTCTTTGCGACGTGAGGCCTCGACTCATGTTTCCTGAAAGGCTGATCCCACACACACTGCGCACCATGATGACTGCAGCGCGAGCAGCGCTGCACGTGCTGACTGCAACAACGTGACAACAACCAGCCCCTACATCAACCACACCCGTGTGCTCAAACACACTGGAAAAGGTGTGGATCCAACACATCGAATCAGTCTCAGTTTCTGGGTGCATAAGCTCCGATTGCAAGCAATGCACCGATTGCAAGCAAGTGCTTTCGAGTACCATCACCATCAATGTTCATAGTATGCAATCATCATCAATGATCATCATGACAATCACCATCACCATCATCATCATCGACATCATAAATCAGCAATAATAATCCATCATCAATCATTAATCAGCAATCGTCGTCAATCACGACCACCATCATCATCATCGTGATCATCGTCGTCATCATCATGATCAAACATCCTCAATGTTGATCCAACATCATCGATCGGCAGAACTCCGGGAGCTGGTCTCAGTCTGAAGCTACGAAGGTCGCTATTTGTCACAGCCATCTCCTCAATGTACATATCGATGTCAGGCATGAGAATAGCATATGATTCGTCTCCAGCAACATGTTGCAAAATGGCTCGCTCATGGATGACAACAGGTCCGGCCACATCGTATTCAAACAATGCTGTCCTGTTTAGCATTGCCATGTTTTCGAAGCCGCACCTCGGCTAGCTGTGCTTGAGCAATCGCTTGCAGAGTTGGCGATGGTGGTTCCAACTCCACTGTCTCAATCCAGCGATGCCGACACAGAGCAAGTGCCAACACAAGACAGCAGCACCAAGAGATCAAAGCCACTGCAAAAGAATCAATAATGTTCCCTCCCCGCCAGCCGAATCTCTGAAAAGACTCTTGGTCCGTTTCTCCCACGCTAATACAGTGAGAGTGGAAGTAACCGTGGACCAGGTTGTTTGTGGCCCTTACCATTGGATTGCTGAACCAACTCAATGATCAACCACCCCAGCAAAGCACAGTGACCAGTCACTATGCCAACAAAGTAGGGCAAAGCGTTGGCACCGCCCATGGGGCACCAATGAAAACGGGAGGTTTAAGAGCGTGAGATTAGTGTCCACGGCCAATCCGGCACCTGCTGGAGCTTCAAACACGTGCTGGAGCACACATATCATTGTCATCAGCATCATCAAAATCATCCTTAATCATCATTATCATCAAGCATCCTTCATTATACATTATTCTCATCATTAATCATCGTCATAAACATCGTTGTCATCATTGTCATCATCGTCATCATCAATCATCAATGCTCAATGCTCAATCCTCAATCTCCTCCTCCTCATCATCCTCGTCCTCCTCATCATCCTCATCCTCATCCTCATCCTCATCATCATCCTCATCATCATCATCATACAGTAATATGAAGTAGTATCATCATCAATATCAATAACAACAGTCGTGAAACCAGCGAGCACCTGGAAAGTGAGACTCGATGCACGACTTTCACGATTCTCAGCCAGTTGTTTCGACCCCATGCACCAATGAGCAACAGCATGGCAACGAAGCAACCGAAGAAGAGTCGCTGAGCCTCCCTGGTAGTGAGACTGCAAGAGTTAATGATATACCTCGAGCCCATTTGACATCGTTTGACCCCTGTTTTACTAGGAAAGGACCATATAATGCGGAGGTGGGTGGTCGCAAATAGAGATCACAGAAAGGTTCTAAGTCATTGATGTTCAAAGCTTGCCAAAGTGATCTTACTTAATGAAAGCATCACCGCCCAACCCGGGCTGTTTCGCACAGGTCTTGCTACCAGTTGCTGAAAGACATACATATATATATATTACATATTGTACAAATACCAGCACCACAGAAAGGATGGTTTATACGTATCTCTATTGTCCTTCCAATATATAACCACCCTCTCCGTGGTGCTGGTATATTTAAATTACTATATATATACACAGCAACACAACACACACACAAACAAAAGAAACGCACGACTGATCCGATCAAGATCATGGAAGTTACAAAACCCACCTAACATGAAAAAATCGACTCAATGGGCAAACAAGAACAGAGATGTCCAACACCCGTGCTCCCTGGGGTATCAAAGGGTAGTCAAGCAAGAACCTCACAATGCTAGCTCTACCCTGGAAGTCCAAGTCTGTTTTAAACATGTTTAAACATGGTCTGACTAGGTGATCCTACTTCGGTTCGCAATGGACTATCCCATTTGATGATGCAGTTGCAGGTCGACATCGACCCTTACAGGTCATACCCAAAGTACATACATCACTCCAAAGACAACTCTGAATCTGTGACTTGGGGGACAGCCTAAGAACTTTGGGGGACTATACTAACGAACGGATGTGCTTAAGGAACGTACAACAAATCACCAGAAGGGGATTCAACCATATGTTTGTTTGTTGTTTTTACACCTTAAGCAAAACAACCAGGCTAAGGACCGATGACCCAAGGTCTAACAATCCTGTCACAACGCTTCATTCATTCTCTTCCCTGGAATACTCTCGCCTGGGGCGGAAGGCCGTCTTCACCAGCGAGACCTGCACGATGCAGTCGACACGACGCAGAAAGCCAAGGCGTGAAACTCGTTGGCGCGGCGGGGGATGTCCATGTTTGGGGTGAATCCTGACGCAGGTGGTTCTGTAAAAAGCGTTTCTTCCTGACGCAGGTGGATCTGGTTCGTAGGTTCAATCATTCCCAAACACGACCCGTCTGGGACTGCTATACGTAGGACTGCCGCCCCATTGACCCCCCTTTCAACCACCCCAATGTAGATAAATATGTTAGTCCCATCAGTCGTGTCTGGGATTCGTTTCAACTATTTTCTGAGATCGGCACAAACATGTTCTCCAGTTCGACACGATCTCAGAAAATAGTAGATCACCCAGACGGGGTGTTCTCTTCTGGGATTCGTTTCAACTACAAACCCAACATGTTCTCCAGTTCGACACACAATGCCTGAAGCGTTGGGGTGACTTGTTCCCGGGGACTCGGAACTTGGACTCTCGGATGATCATGGGAAGACCATGGTCCTAAACACCACCTGCCGTGGCCTTTTGGGGGTCCATGTGAGTCCTATGCAGAAGGGTAACCAACATTAAAACATCGTCAAATGAGCCACGGTCCAAAGTTACTAAATTTTGAGCCTCTGTCCGTACTTGTACATAGTCTTCTGCAAATTGGACCGTGCCTCATTTGGACATGTTTGGACGTCGGCAAAGGCACGTGCGGACCATCACTTCCGCCGATTCGCAGCTGATCTGGAAGATGGCAGCGCGATCCAATCAAACAGGTGCTTAACGGGCCGGCCATCGACCGGGACCAGCTCATTCACACCGGGACCAGCCATGGACCTTGGGGGAGGAGAGAATTGAATCCACCTGGACCTGGACCTGTTCGTTGCCTCAGAAGCTCTCGGAACATGGGTACAAGATCCCCCTTGCAATTCGGCCTCTCTCTTGGGCTGTCTGACTCTTTAGGGACACCCAGGTGGCCACTGCCAGCTGCCACCTTAAAGAATCCTCAATCCACAGTGCCCATACCAACATGGTAGCTTAAAGAATCAGGACTCTGCCAACACATACTGGGCACTGGCCCTACAAAATCAGAACACGTTGAGCACAGTGCACACACCTGTTTGGAACCTGGACTCCCTCTAAAGAATGGGAACACCCACTCCACACACGTACCAGTCCATGATGATGACTGTTCAAGAAGGATTGTAACCGAAATCACGGCAATCTACCATCTAATACAAAATAGGTTCAAACATGTTCAAACTTGTCATAACTTGCATCTGTGCAAAAAATCAAGAAAACTACATACTAGGACGTAATTGTTCTTACGTCCTAGTAGATTTGGGGCGCCAAGTTGTCCTAAGGGTTGACTGCTTGGGCCTGAATTTGAAGCTCAGCCCTTCAAATCTATCCACATGATCTGGCTAAGAAAGGGTCAATCCACCCAAAAAGACTGTACAGACCCCAGCTCCCAGTACAACCGGGTATAACACCTTAGACAATCAAATCTCAGTGTCTAGAACTGGTTGGGTAAGGGATGTGGATGTACATGTCTAAAGAATCAAGCCCTAAAATGCCCAAAATACACTTTGCGGTAAGTTGCCATGAATCTTCATCTTCATCTGGAAGAGTCTGATTTTTTAGACCACATGTTACCCTCATTTGCGGGGATATCATGAGCCTATAAAAAATCAGAACCCAGCCACCATCCTACCACCCCACAAGTTCCCAGAATCCCCACAACAGAAGGTCGACAATCCAAAAACCTGTGAAAACTCATGTCTTTTTGTTTTTGTATTGTTTTTGCATGGCTTTGGGGTGAAAATGCACCAGCATGCTATTTCATGGGGCCTATCCCCCTAAAGAATCAGAACCCAGCCACGTGTCCCAGTCTAAAGAATCAGATGGCACCCATGGTCGAAAAAAATCTGGGTCTAAAGAATCTGGGCATCCCCAGGATTCCCCGGGAAACTTTAGGTTCTAATAGGAGAATGCCTGGGGGATCCTGGGAACTTGTGGGGTGGCAGGATGCACCCTTGCCCAACCAGCGTTCTAGACACTGGGACCTGATTCTTTAGACCATTGGTGCCATCTGATTCTTTAGACTGGGACACGTGGCTGGGTTCTGATTCTTTAGGGGGATAGGCCCCATGAAATAGCATGCTGGTGCATTTTCACCCCAAAGCCATGCAAAAACAAGAAAACAAACACAAAGACATGAGTTTTCATAGGTTTTTGGATTGTCGACCATTGTCGACCTTCTGATTATGGTGGATGATGAGGCAAATATAGGAAAATGTTTGAAGAGTGATCATCATTGAACATTGTGATGTTATGACATGCTCACTTTTGATAAAGGCATTGCCATTGGATGCCATTGGCATTGATCTCCAGGCTGAAAGATGCGAGCGTGTGGCTAAAAGTGCACCTCTAAAGAATCACACTCCGCTGCCACTCTAAAAAATGCATGGTGAACTCTAAAAAATGAAGCTGGTACAGTCACTAGCTGTTTTTGGTTCGGGATAACCTCCTCCCTTCGTGGCCGTGAAGGAAGTCCGGGTCGAGGGCGGTGTCTTTTCAATTCTCCTCTCACTTCCAAGATCTTGCCAGGCCATACCCTAAGGGTCCAGGGCCATCCGAATCGGATGTCCTTTGGCCGGCTCCCAAAGAGCCTTTCTCCGGAAGTACTATGAAGTACCTCCCAGACCTTCGTATACCCAATGGTACCCGGACCCCTCCGATCCATGGATTAAAGGACCCATCCGATCAGCGCCTGGTAGATCTGCTGTCCTTGCGCCTTCGGGAGCTCCAGCACCTGCCACGCACGCGTGGCACGCCGGTCCCGACCACCTTCGTGCCGCGCCGCAGGTGTTTCGCGCGCGCGCGCGACCGCGGAACGGCGCCAAGACATCTGGCCTCATCCAAACTGAAGGGTGCACCTGAGATGGGCAGAAGATCTCTGAAGACCATCAAGATGATCTGGGAGAGATGTCTGGGGAAGTCCAGTTGACGAATTTCGAACATGCTCTGACTCTGGTCTTTCTCGGGGTTCACCGCAAACGCACTTCCGAATTGCTGCAGTTAGCCAAAGATCGTCATGTGGAGATCGAGAACTGCTATAGGGCATGTTCCTCGAATTTCAGTGGGCTGGACTCTGACAGAAACAGGACTGTGAAGCCGAAAAAGTCTGAAGCACCAATGCTTTGGGCAGCTCCTACGATCGGCTTGAGAAAACCCATCCGTTGCACGATGGTCGTTGGCGTCTCCTCTGAAGGTTGCGCTCCCGCTTGAAGCCGTTGGGATGTGTTTTCACCATGGTGGCCATCGAGATCTTCTAGGTTTCTTTTACAGTATCTGGACCATCCAATGATGGGAGTCCTGTACTGGAGATCTCCATGTGTTAGGCGCTGTGTGAGTTTCACAGGCTTGTCCTGTTCGGGAAAACGGCTCATGCGACCTGGCTGTGGCTGGCGAAATCGACCACCTACCAGGGCGAGTTGGGGGTGCCACGGGACCCACAGCGTCGTCCTGAGCTGCGTGATCTGCATTGTGACTCGGTGGAGCCATTTGGGACGGCGCGTCGGACGTCGGGCAGGTGCTGGTCGAGCGGCTTTGACTGGAAAGGCCTTGTGGGTTATGGAAGAGCAAGAAGCCCTTAGCCTCCTGGGTCACATCGAAAGGCCTTCTGTAAAGGCCCCAGTGCTGAAGCTGAACAGATAGGCTCAATGGCGCTTGGACAACTTCACATCTACAGCAGAGCTAGAGGGCCTAGACATGTGTCGTATTGTTCACGAGGCCCCAACACAATGGTCAATTGGTCAATCTGGGTCAATCTGCTGGGAAATGCAACTGATCTGTGTAGAAACAGAGGAACGGAATCCAACTCAACAAACCCAATCCAAGCAGTTTCACTCACGGGACACGCATGTGTCGAGTAGAACGCGTCCTGGACGTCCCAAGAGGCAATACAGTAGACCTCGTATCCTCAGATCGAATGCGACCGCAAGTCGCAGGTAGAGAATCCATTGGGACCCCCACCTCCTGAGAAGATGGTTGGGGTGGGTTTGGGGGGTCTAACCACCTTCTGAGGATATGGTTGGAGCCCTAGGGACCAAACAACAACAGAATCTTTGCACGAGTTGTCCTAGGGATCCAACGACCTCTGTTTCGAAGCTGGGACAGGGGTGGGTGCCACGGGGTTCTAATCAACCACCACCGAACCTGAGGATCTGGGCCAGGAGCCCTAGGATTGAGACACCTGTCTCAATCAGGAGCACTCCAAAGCAGCATCTTGAAGCCTATCCCTCCGACCGCAGACACTTCCGGTAAAACCGGCTTTTTCGTGGACGTGACGACCTGGAACCTGGAACCAGCAAGAGACCTGGAACCTGGACTCTTCGCTGTCCAACATGATCTGGAAAAACCTTGGCTGATTGGATGGACCTAGGCAGAAATGCTCCTTTTCACCTCTTCAGAGGTCTGGACCCGAACCCAACTCCCCGATATTGGGGCTTCTAGGCATCCTCGGGTCGGAGAAAGAGGATCGAGGATCGACCAGACTCTGCAGTCGAAGCAGCTGGAGACATCCCCGAAGGCCCAATGGCTATCTCTCAAGATGGCCGCATGCTGCCTCGACCACCTGCCAAGGCCCCATGCCGCCCCGGCGGCCACGACCGGAAGACGAGAAGTGTTGCTTCGAAGTTCACCATTTTTCGATAATTCCCATTCAGATGGGTCTGCTGAGCCAGGCCATTTTTGGGAATGACTTGGGGAACAACCATGCTTCGTTCATATACATCATGGAACAGCCGCCCTGGCACCCTCGGTCCCCCCCGTGTCGGCCTCAAGGCTTCGGCCAAGATATCCCAAGCTTCTGGGGTCATGTGCCGCGGTGCCACGTAGAGCTCCTGAAACCGGCCCAAGGGATCTGGATGTTAAAGGCAAACAAAGGTGGTGGACGCAGCTGAGAACAAGCCCCCATCAACGCTTCAAAGACCTGTGGATCCATACTGGATCCACATCACCTCCGAGAAGGTGATTGGAGACAGTTTTATGTAGGTGCCAGGAAGGTCCGAATACCATCTGACAAGGTTTTTAGATCCCTCGGGAAGGAGATTTTTTTCCAGGCCTTCTTGGTGAGTTCGGGAGGCAGGACGCGGCACATCATTCGCTGGAGCCCCATTTTAGCATGATTTTGAGATGGTTGAACCTCTGCATTTCACAACAGGTTTGTTTTTAGGATCTTGACATATCTTGACCTGAGGCATTTTAAGGCCTCCCACTTCAAGACTCTTTAAGATAAAAGGTGTGTATTCCAACAGGGAGAGACCGCTCTAGGTGGTGGCCGTTGTTCTATGACCTTCCAGGGGGTCGAAGCCTGGGAGGTCTCCCTATTTCTAATACACACCCATAACTTTTGGGGGTCCAAGTCACTGCTAACTCACTCCCATGGGCTGAAGGAACAATTCCAAGGGTAGATGCCCTTTCCACCCATCTTCATAGGGAAAACCTCCTTTACATGCAGGCAAGTTGCCTGGAGGTTCCGCATGGCCCTCCCAAGTCTATTGATTGGGAGAGTGCAATTGCAAGGAATCAAGGTCCGGGTGTCACAAACGTCCAAATAGCAACCCCCATGACTTTGTTATCTTTCTGTTCTTGTTTGTTTGTATGATTGATATTGAAAGTTAAACCTGTAAAAATAGAGGCGACATCTAGCTCTGGAGGCCAGAGACCCCTGCCACCGGAAAGCATGACAAACACACACCCCAAACATGCCTGGGTCACCCAATGGGTGTCCAATAGAGGCTTATGGACCTCCATTGGACGCCTATTGGGTGATTCTGGTGTCCTCCATTCCTCAAATGTCCCTCTTTCACGACTCCACTTTTTCTGGCCACCCAGCCGAACTCGCTGCGCTCCGCACTCGCTGCACTGCTGCGCTCCTGCAATTGAAGTCCCATGGCCACAAAGGACCAAACCTCTTGCCTTCAGCCAGGGCGCCACGAACATCACGAAGTCCAGCTCGTCCCTCCCAAAATCTACGATTCCTGGCCCAGCATGAATTCAATGCCAAATCCTGAATCCTGAACAACTAGTGTTTTATTGAGGAAGGATTTTACACTACAAAACCAGATCGACCCTTTTAAAATCGTCTTGGAAGTCATAGGTATCCAAGGTGAACCCCATGTTTGTGGGGAAACCAATCCCCAGATTTTCCAGGTTTTTCAACCCAAACGCTCCATGATCTTGCTGTTATACATTGACCCCTTCAAACCCAGTCAAACAACCCAAACGTGCATGTTGAAACGTGCAACGTCCCATGGACGTGCGTTCCGTCGGTCCAAACCGCAACCCGAGCCACGTGAAGTCCACACGGTCGTAGCGGCTGAGGCCCCAGTGGAGGGCGTCGCCGTGCGAGGCGACGATGACGCCGTGGATCATGAGCTGGGAGAGGGGAAAGAAGGTGGAGCGCTTCACCACCTGCACCAATCTGTGATGCGGTTTGCAGCGGTTTTCAGCGTTTTGTTTTAATCTGTTTGGTTGAGAACAAGCAAACATGGCGGGACAGGGTTGATCGACGAGGCTTCCACGGGTTGGGCGGGCTGAATTTCCACCGTTTTCAAACCCATGCATCTCGTTTCTTCCGCAGCCACCGAGGGATCCTCGTGCTGGGCCTCATGGGAAGAACCGTTTATGCCAAGGGCAGTGTTTGCACTCACGGCCCTCGAGGTCCAAAAAAGAAGCACCCAGGGGTCACAAGGAGTTGGGTGGTGTTTGGTCTTAAGTGAGTGGAGTAGCTGGGCACCCCGACGACCTCCGTTCGGAACCGGCACCCCGTCGAACGTGACTCCTGGACCACCGAGTTTGTTCTGCACCTCATGTTCCATCATGAATTACTGGACTTGAGCGTCTCAACTCACTACTCCTACTCGGGACCTGTCCGACCAGGTCAGACATTGGGTCTGACTGGATGCAGGGAATCCGTCCCACCAATACCTGCCCAGTCTCTTCCCTCACCACCACCGCCACCAAGGCACTAAGATATAGACCACCATGGCCCGCCAGCGGATCCACCGCTGCCGGCCCGTTAAACCATCCAAGCCGATGGCATCCAGCGGAGGTGGCACGAAGCGCTTCTCCAGGATCGCCAACCTGCCGGTTCGAAGGAAGGCCCCGACCCGTTGGGGCGTCCGAAGGTCCGTGAAACACCCTAAACAGGGCGGTTTCGCGGAGCCGAGACGCCGCAGGGCGAGGGTGCGGAAAGAGACGCCGCAAGTGACTTTAAGCGACTTCAAATTAATCAGTTCTTTGCCAGCCAACTAAAGCACGAACTGAAGAACCACGGTATGCAGGTGATGATTGACCCCAAACGCAACACAGCCAGGCTGGGGTATACTGCTGCCTGCAACACGGGCTAGATTGGGCCCTATTCAATAGCCAATATAAAACAGCGATTTGCATGGCTCATAAGTGCCATAGTGTTCTGCACGACAGGTCTTTGTAGGATTGAGAAAGAATGACTCGAATGACCTCTGAAATCATGTCCGAAAGATTCCAAAAGATGAGGGTGCTCCTGCAAACTTTTTGCTTATTACATGGTTCGCTTTTTTTTTGCGTTCAATCAAAATCTTACCTGTTCAATTGTTCAATAGACCATCTGTTGCACGCCAAAGAAACACCCTAAAGAGAAGCATCAATGCCCCCCCCCAGAAATTAAACAAACAAACACACAGACACACATACACAATATATCACGCAATCACACACACATTCCCCAAAAGGCTTCTGAACCCTCACCAACAGCATTTCTCTTTGGTCCATTTCACGCCCCTCGTGGCTACCGAAAACGCGAGACGTCCCCGACGCCGACGCCGACGCTTCCGAAGCACCGGACGGTGAGGCCACGAAGGGTGGAACAAGGACCGAAGAAACACCTCCGGAGGCTTCACATGCCCAGACACGACTTGTCTGGGACTGCCAGTCCGGACTGCCGCCCCATTGACCCCCTGGCACCACCCCAATGTAGGCATGTATGGCAGTCCCATGGAGTGTCTGGGATGTGGAGAGCGTGGGGGGGGGCAGAGGAGGGTTTTTTCGCCCTAGAAAGGGGGAATCTCTCCGCGCCTGTCGGAGATCTTGAGAGGGCCATACCTGGGATTTGATTGTCCAAGGAAGCCGGAGCCGGGAAAGAAACAACATATATTTTTCACCAGCAGGGGATTCACCCAGGAACCGGATTTAAAAAATAGTAAAACATATTTTAATAAGCAAAACCAGGAGACCAATCTTTGGGCCTTGTAGCAATGTCAGGGCCTCCACGCCAGATGCTATCCGCCCAGAAGAGGAAGAAGGGCGAGGGCCAAGTGCCGGTCGTCAGATTGATCCAAACATCTTCCTCCGGAGATGCCAAGAGCCGAGGGACGGTTTCGAGCATTTTGTTCAACCCAAAGGCTCATTGGACCCTCATAGCCAGGGTTTTGACCCTCACAGCCAGGGTTTTGGACCTCAAACACGTAGCAGTTTGAGGGTTGGGAATGAGGTATTTGGAGACCACTCCAGGGGTCAAATATGTCTTAAGAAAGAGAGGTCTGAGTTTGAGGTGTTTGAGACACGTTTTTGTGTTCTTTGTCATAATATTCCATTTTGCTGCGGTTCAGGGGTCCTCAGCTGCAGTTAACTCCCATGGTTTCGGAGTGATTGATCCAACATCGGGTTCTGTTCGCAAGTGCCGGGACTTAGAATTGGGGGAAGGCTTTCACCAAAGAGCACACGAAAAGCCATGTGAATGGCTTTGACTCAAAAACTGATATTACCAGTGCCAGCCTCCCCAACATATATAACTCTGAAACTCGCGCAACTAACTAACTCATTACCCGCAGCAGCTACTAACTCATGACTCATTACCAATGGAGATTCGCCATGCAAATTGCATGCAAACTCCGCCCGAGCACGATCGAATCTCCGCCATGTCCAGGCAAGTAGAAAGTAGACTCAGAGACTGCAGAATCCCATGACAAATATAGTATACCAGCACCACCCAGTTTGGGGTAGCTCTTGGATGGAAAACTCGATCGTGTTCTTTTCGGTGGGCGGGGTCTATATTTACGACCCAAGCTGGGTGGTGCTGCTAACGGTCTTTACTTTTTGATGGGGTCATGTCCCCATTGTTGTACTTCCGGCCCGTCTCTGATTCCGCGTCTTCCGTGTCTTCCGATTCTCGTGACAATTCCACGGAGTCAACCTGTGAGTTCGGCCCCCCCAGTCGTACCTGTTTGTTGCTTGGGTCAGACGTGCCATTTTCGAAGGTAGGGACAAGTCGTCGGGTCCAAGTACTGGTCGTGTCTTTCTGAGAAAGGAATGAGCATTCCCCAAGAGTTCACAACGACATATGTTTAGATCCCTGTGGTAGTGGTGGATCATGACTCCCAGGTGGGGTAAAAGGAGTCATGTTTTGAGACTGTACCTATATACTTGAGTTGGGCAAACCCAGTGCTCTGTGCCATCTTTGACTCGCAGTAGCAAAATACATGCCTGCTCTGTGTCATCATGGCTGCGAAGTCTTACCACAGTCGGCCAGCAAGAGAAGTGCATGTCAATCTCCCATAGACCACCGGACAACAAATAACACCGGACGGAGTCATGTTCCTCCTATTTCCTGTTCTTTCGTTTTTTCCCCAGTCCTCATCATCCTTCTGGGACTTCTGGTTCCGCAGCTGCGCCAGGGTCCGCAGCATCGCTTCCATCTCCATGGCCAGCTCGGTGGGATTGCCCGCGACGCCGTCGAACTTGAACATGTTCACCTCGACGTTCCATCGGGCCGGCCGACTCGACCAATCCCAAAACAGCACCCTAGACTTCCAACCACTATTAGAAGTAATGCTTTACCGAACCAACTATGGATTGTACACTACAAAAACCAGCTCAACCAATTGCTCAACCATTCTTTTTAATGGTCTTGGAAGTCTAGGGATCACGCATATATGGGACTGGTATAGTAGCTCCCGTTTGGGCTCCAGTCGTACCGAACCTCAGATTCGGTACGACTGGACCCGACGTTTTGGCACCTACATCACAGTGTCGAACAGATCACCGAACCTGAGGTACGGTACGACTGGATGCCTACAGGGGCACCAATTAGAGGCCACCTGGACCCTCCAAAGTACCTTGGAAAATGGGACATGACCCCATAAAAACAGGTACGACTGTACCCATTTTCCGAGGTACGAGTTCCGGGTCGACTCCAGGCACACAAGTGTACCCGAAGCTGCAATCCACCTCTTGGTCCACCTCTTGGTCCACCCATGTCACCCGAGTTGCAAAAACCCAAGGCGGGATCGGGGGCTCCAGACAAAGGCAGCCGAACTGGGCTACATTCCAGCACCTTCACTGCCAGGTTTGAAGTTGTGGAGGCTTTTGTACCAGGACCCTCCAAGGGGTGGTTAATGGACACCCCGAATCACAGCTAAGGGGCTATAAATAAACACCCCTTGGAGGGTCCTGGTAGAGTTACCGTAAACGTCCTTTCTGTGGTGACCAGGTGTCGGCTGCTACATCAATGTCCTGCAACCCCTCCAGTCCCCTGAGTGGAAGGTATGGAGCTCGGATTGGGCGGCCGGCATCCAACGAGAATCTCAGAGCCAACACGACATGGGACCTGAAATCTCAACGAAACTGATATCAACCACCCCAACTGATGGGGATGGGCAGTCCTACTCCAGTCCCCAGGTCGTGGTCGTGTTCACCCTCGAGATTCCGACCCGCAAGTTACGAAGAGCAAAAGACGAGGAAAGGAAACCGAGGAGTCCAAGGTGGAAAAATGGCTCCTTCTTGGGGGAAGAATTCAAAGGGATGTGACATGTCTCGATAGTTCCACTACCAACGAAACAAAAACATTATAAGTCTTGCAGCCTCTTGCATGTTGATATTTTTTCAAGATGCCCGGTTTGCGCTGCAGGAACTTCAGGTTACAATGAGAATTCACTACCAGGAGTCTCAGTTCGTACGGAAGATGAGTGCAGCTGGGGGCATCGTCCCATTTTCAGAGTCATCCAGAGTCGAGGCTGTTCAGGTAAGGTTTCTCGAGGCTTTGAGGCTCTGGCTGGGCCGAAACAGCCAAGAACCTGCAAGCCGGAAAGCCATATCAAATTAATAAAAGTGCACGTTCAGCTGATCTTTTTCTTAAAACAATCCCTATATAGTAACAAGGACGCTCTTGTCTTAGGTGGAGGCCATCGCTAGTAAGTTGGAGGCCATCGCTACTAGTGCTACTATAGTAACTGCCTCTTCAAACAACCATGACCCGTCTGCTGACCCCGCAGGCGTAACCCCTTTGACGTTCAGAACCAACTCCTGGCGGCGGTCGAGCCACGCCCTGTTCACGGCGGAAGCGCATGGCTGTCTCGTGGAAGGCCTTCTGATACTTCTTCCCCGCCAGGCTGAAGCCTGGAAGACTGAAAGACCAAGGAGAGGAGATGTCAAAAGAAGCACCGACTGACTGAAATCCATGTCATTTCCGGGGTCCAATTGGAGTGTTTCTACTGTCCTGGAAAGCACCCAGCAACACAAACAAACAATCATGGTCATCCTATACATGCATAGACTAGGGAAAAAAGAACACGTGGAAACAAATAACTTTGAGTCAATGAACATGAGGTTGGATGCTTGTACCAGAAGCATGAAACGCAAGCGCACATGACCAGGCGTTGCTATCTGTCCAGTTTGCTGACTGGTGCCATACATGTTAGTTTTCAAACCATGCTGCAGAAAAAGGCTGTTCTTGGAGTGGTGCCACCTTCTCTTAGTTTCTAACAATAACAACTTCACGTTGACCAACGTCTTAAAGTCACATTCCCAGACACTCCATGGGACTGCCATATTCATATACATGGGGGTGGTGCCACGGGGGTCAATGGGGCGGCAGTCCTATGGCAGTCCCAAACAAGTCGTGTCTGGGATTAAATTAACATATCACCACGTCTTCGGAACCGGAGTCGCCTTCGTTCCGGTCGACTTCGAACCGTTTTGGTACCCGCTGACCTCGCTGACTCGGCGGAAGCGTCTTCGGCCTTCGGACTGGATGTTCTTGTTGTAGTTCGTCTCATAGCCTCGGCGGTGCTGTTTCTCCAGGAAACCGTCGGAACATGAAACATCTTCCCCATAGCAAAGGAGCCCATAGGCAAAAGAGGATTCACCTAGGAGGAATTCGGGACCAATCGACGAACATTCTCCGTTGTTTCGCCAAGCCAGGTAGCCTTGCTTCTTTCCGAACTTCACTCTGGCCTCCTGTTCGACCGCGACCCATTTTTTGCTCCGACGTGTCACGCCGTGCGAAACAACACACGGGGGACGCTGCGCCACGTGTCTGGACTCTGGACTCTGGGGCCGCCAAAATGGTCAAAAAAGGCGTCCAAAAGTGACCGTGCCTTCTGGGTCAACTGGATGATCTTGAGATGAAACCACCAGCAAGATGTGCAATGATGGGCAAGTCGTACATATAAGAATCTGCAGTGTCAATTTCAAAGTGTGCATATCTGTTAGCCTTAAGGCTCCTACTACAGGGACTCTATCTTGCCCTTGTGACTTATGGATATTCTGCTGCTAAGGGTTTATATAACCGTAGCAAGTCCCTTATGAACCGAAGGGGCTAAGGGCCAAGGGTATACCAAAGGTAGAAACACTGTTGTCCTTCAATTCTTGAACTCACCATCACCCTTCTGCAAATCTTCTCCTTCACCTAAATGCAGCGGAAAAAATTGCCCTAGCAACCCCCCCCCACAGCGCCTTTTCCCTCTTGAAAACAACGGCAACAACAAGAATTTCAAACAACTTCAACCCCCAAACCCATCTCCCAGGACCTTCCAACAGCAGAGCTGTTGGAAGGTGCTGGTCTCAACCTGTGAAAGAAGAAGAAAAAGCCCACGCCGTAGAACCCACGCCTGGGTGAAGCCGTAGCCGCCCCAGGGCGAAAGCCACACGCCGGTGCCGGCGCCAAAGTCCTTGGCCCTCTTCGCCACCTCGTCGAAGCGCCGCGGGAAGCGCTGCTGGTCAAACCTCGCTGCGGTCTCCGGTCCGTCCGCGGCGTCCGGTTCCTTCGGTCCCTCAGCTTCAAGATGGACCCGACCAACTCGGTTCGTACCCGAACGACAATGACCCGATGGGCCCCATGACCCCACAAGTTCCATAGTCGTAGTCCTTTTCTTCAGTACATAACCCATGACCCCACCATGGGACTGCCATAGGACTGCCGCCCCAACAAGACCCCTCTGGCACCACCCCTGGCCGGCCGTTTCTCGGCAGTCCTGGCAGTCCCATGGGTCGCGTCTCGACGGCCGAAGGACTCGCCGGACCTTCGGGTGGTGCGTGGACTCGGTTCGATCGGGATGTTCCGAAGCCCGGAGGGTGCCGACCATGGGCGACCCGGCCCCCTAGGCACTCCAGGCCACTCCATGTAGACTGCCGAGAAACGGCCACGGGTGGTGGCTTTGGTGGGTCGAGGTAGGTCGATGCGGAACCGATGTTCCAGTCGTGTCCCGGCGTGTGTCGGGCAATGGTCTAGCTACGTTGATCTGCTCCGAAGCCCGACTGCAAGAAATGGTTTTAGAAGATAGCTCATGTGTCAGAAATCCCAGACGCTCCATGTATGCCATATATGCCTATACATTGGGATCATTGGGGGTCAATGTAGGCATATATGGCAGTCCCATGGACTATGGGAATGATTCACCACAGGTGAAGAACCAAACGCCCTCCAAATCATCGCACTCCGCATGCCCTCTCTCACGCGAGGTCGGTCTGCTCGCTCCGGGCCACTCCCAAAGGCTGTGTGGATCATCCCAGCCGTCGTCCCAAAGGAAGGAGTCCTGCGACACGCCGTCCACCCCCCCCGTCCACCCGCGGTCCAAGTCCCGCAGTCGAGACCTTGAGAAACCCCCACCGGGGCACAGACGCAGCGACGAAGGCCAGGACGGGGAAAAAGCACCCAAACACCGTCTCCTAGAATCGTCCGAAAACTCCCCCAGTGGAAAAACACCAGAAGACCAGGAACACCCAAGGAGACGACGTACTGTGTTTGCCACTAAGAGCAGTTCAGAGTAGATGTGTCGGCCGTTTCGGTTTTCAGTCGTGCAAACCTGGACTGAAACGAGCAACCTGCAAAGGTCCAAAAGCACGCCCTTTTGGAGCTGTCATGCCCCCCCCCAAAAAAAACAATATGGATGTCATATATTATGTAGTATGTGTAGTATGTATTCTTTTGTGTTCTTGACCTGCACCTGGCGCAGGTAGGACACAATGAGGGATTCACTCTGGATGCGCTGCAACTTGCAACATTTGACAAACACGTCGTCTATGACGGACACCGCCGCTCGGAAAGCCAAAGAACATATATCAATCATTCAATGTCATGCATGCTGCACAACAAGCAATATAAAGCATCCCAAGAATCCAGGCCTAATGGAAAGGGTCTGGAAAGGGTTTTGAGGGTCCAAACCCCTGCGACGCGGGGTCCAAGGATTCTTAGGGCAATAGAATAACTGAAGACGGCTGGCTGAGCCAGTGATGAGCAGGGAAGGGTGGGTGTCCTAAAGAAATCCCAAAGACTCCAAATGCCTACATTGATCCCGTATATACATATCCTACATTGATCCCTACATTGATGTAGGCATATATACAGTACATACTCTCCATTGATCCCCCCAAATCCTATATTGGGGTGGTTTGGGGGGGTCAATGGGGCGGCATATAATCGGGCATCTGCTCCATACATGGTCAGTGTCTGTGAAGAATCATGGTCTAGCTGCCTTGTTGATCTGCTCCCGTTTGACTGCAAGAAATGGGTTTGCCCAGTAATTAAATGTGTCACAAGAAGAACCACAGGTGAATCTGGTTCAGGAGGGTTGTTCTGGTGCATGGTGAAAAAAAGGCTGCCCTTGGAGTGATCTCTGCCTTTTACGCAGGTGGGCAAAACCGTGCTGCGTTCTTCTCTCATTGGATTGTACAGGTCGCATGCCAAACAAATCATGATGTTGAGGCGTGGGTAGCTGCTACCGGAAACATGGTATTCTGTTAATTAACCTGGACCCTCCAAGGGGTGCCCAATGGAAGCCTATAGGTAGTGTGGGGTAGTCCATTGGACACCCCTTGGAGGGTCCTGGAATAGTTCATATATATGTTCACTTCCTTTTATGGCGATAAACGAAGTCCCCCCTCGTATGAAATGACCTTCTCGCCCTCACACGGCACGACGAGTCCAGCTTGGTCTTCCGCTTCGTCACCATTTCTTCTCCTCAAACAACAAGCCATCACGTCACGAGCGCAACTGCATCTTGACCATGCTGGTTGAACCGGCATGAGCCTGCAACCTGGGATAGTGCTCTGACCAGCAGCCCCAAGGCCCATGAAAGACTGAAAAGCATCGCTAGGCACTGTCAACCGCCAAGAAAAAACAGGCATGACCGAAAGATTGACCGAACAAAGCCATAACTCATCTGTAGTGCACACGAACAGAATGGGACCGGAAATTCATGTCCTGCCCAGTCCACGCGCAGAAACGCTATAGAAGTGTTGACTGAACCCCCACTTCAGATTTGAGCTGAACAGGCCAAGTGGGCCAAGAAGTACTCTGCATCATCTGGAGCGCAAACAAAACTCACAAGCCAAGTTAAGAACTGATCTGGCGTGAATTTGATGCGAGACAATTTGTTTGTGATCCATCCAACTACATCAAGTTGGGCCAGGACGCGTCGTCCACTTCAGCACGCCCTGTCAGACTGGTCCTTTCTCCATGAACCCAACGGCACGCCCGGACCGGACCGGCTGCAGAACCCAACGGCACAATCCCAGGACCATCCGGTCTGGGTGTGGCCCGGCACGGAGTACCCCAAGTGCTAGGTTCGGACATCCACGACAGCGATGGTTCATGGGTTCAAGACCCTAGACTTCCAAGAGATTATAAACATATACAAGTCGTGAATTATAAGAAGACTTCCAAGGCCTTAGATCAACAGTATGGGGTGGTTATTGATAATTATAAAATATCATAAAACATATGCTCTTGATCAATAACCACCCCAATTGGATTGACAGATTATCTTCATATGGGCTGGTTTATGAATCAAGAGTCTACATTCATAAGCCTAAACAATCTAGTAAAAGAATGCTTCTTCGGAAGCACAGGCTATTGACATCTCGGTGAAACAAAAACAACGCACTCATCGCTCGATACGAATCTATGCAAATCTAAACATATCTATACCAGCACCCTCCAACAGGTGTTTCCTGGTGACAACAGGTGTCCAGAAACCACCTGTTAGGGTCTCCAAACAGCCTGGCCAGGAGGGTGCTGGTAGACAATCATGGAAGTGGACAACCTCCTGTTTGTAGATGTCATGGTCTTCCTCGTGAGTTCCAGGGAGTCTAGACTCTTGATCATTTAAAAGCATATGAAAAGGATTGAAAAGGTTTTTTTTCACTCCAAATGGAGGGTTCCAGACAACTCATCCACTCGTTTGCTTCGCCCACACCGACCCAGCCGAGGCTCCAAAGGCTTGGATGCGCTGGATGCAGCGGCCTCACCGAAGTGAAGGAGGTGGACTCGAAGAGACGAAGAACGTTGGTCCCAGGTTGACCCCGGTCCCAGTGCAAACCATCAGAGTTTAGTGAGTTTTGGGGGGGATTGTTTTGGTAGGATCTTCTCGGTCTTCTGGAATAAATTGAGGGCAGTTCCTGACCTGTAGGCGTGTGTTTCTGTTCTTTTTGTTCGACTCGCCGACACGCCCCACAAACCCGTGACTCGCCGACTCGTGTGATTCTGCTCAGGCTGAGTCAGCAAATGATGACGGCTGAGTGCGACCAGCTACATCAATACGTCAAAGTCTCGAAGACCTCGAGAGAGACAGTAGGAGGGTCAAAAGTGGATCCAGTCGTACCGTACCTCAGGGTACAAGGACGGTTTGACTGAGACATGTAGGTGCCATTCAACAGGAGGGCCCAGGAGCTACCGAAGCTGAGGTTCGGTATGTAAATCCCTAGGGCATAGGGTCCAGACATGTTCCAGCCGTTTGAATCCACGGCACGGCTCAATGTGCTTAAGGAACCGGGCCATATTATACCTATACAACCCTTCATTACTTCAAACCAGCTATCCATGTCTGGGTACAAGCAACAAATATTCCAATCACATCGATGGTCTGGCTATGGTTTTGGGTTGATGTTTTCTATGTCTATGACCATTAGAGTTTCTTACACACCAGAAACCCAACTTCCTAAGGTTGACCGCAGCTCAACGCTGGGCACGCTGGTGTCGCGGGGTGGTATTAAATGCTGGGAAGAGATACCCTGGATCGCGACATTGTTCCACCTGAATCAAGAGAGGTTGAGAGACCAGGACTAGGACCCTGGTCTGTGGTACATAGGGGATGGGCTACGTAGCTGTTCAGCCTCTAATCCATCGTTCACGCCGGGTGCCGTCCCGTTCACGCCGGGTGCCGTCCCGCCTTCGCTCATCTTGTCGGGTCTGAGCAAGGTGATCAACGTCTCATTGGGCCAAGGGTCCTAGCGAACCGGGGATGGAGCGTGGGCAAAAGACTGTTGAAACACAAGAAGACACCTATAATGGATGGAAAGCATCGGCTGTAAGAGCATTAGCATCGAGGATTTTAAAGCAGGGATCCAAGTTATACCAGCATAGACCCCAAACAGCTTAGTCGGCAACAATTGTTGTTGTTGTGGCGGGCGGCCGCGGCCCTGCCTTGGAAGGAGCGTAAACAGCAAGGCAGCAGGACAACAGAAAGACCAGAGGAGGACATGAGGAGGACGACAGAGGACAAAAGGATCAGGGAAGGGAAACAACACAAGGACACGCTGTGACAAGCTGTGACCGGACAGGACAACAGCAGGACAATTAGGACAAGAGGAGGACACAGGGTTGGCCAGCGCGGCCCGAGGACAACAGCAGGACAAGGACAAGCCCCGGACACAGAGCCCGCACACAGAGTTCAGTGGCGCGGCCAGCCAGTGTGGCCAGCTGTTTCTTTTCCTATAAGAGAGAACCCTGCCAACAGTAAACTGTTTGGGGGAAAAAGGAACAGCTACTGAATGATACTGACATGAGAATGAAACAATGAAGACCTTAACGCCGTTTCAGATGTAAAACAAAAAGACCAAGGACGCAGTTCTCTATGAACAAATGGAGTCGGAGTCGCGGATCAGTCCAGTTCCTTGCTCCTTGGCATCCCTTGGCCCGCCTTCATCCAAGGCAAGATCTCCAGGCAGCTTCACCCTTCCATTGATCGTGAAGCTTCATACACACTTTGCCTTCTGAAGAATCACAACAAGGAAGCTTCAATGATTCGACCAGCAAAATTCATTCGGAGGAACATTCACCTTACGCTCCTCTGATCCATCATGGAAGTGGAATTAAAAAGGCCCCTGATAATTCCACAAAGTGTATCTTCACACTTTCGAAGATTCCATGTCGACGTCTCAGCGCGTCCGTGGTCCGCAGCTTCCGTCCTTGAAGCCACCGTTGAAACCCTCATCCTGTCCGAATTCGCGAAGAAGAAGAGACATGGGATGGATGAGGACGGAAACAAGAAACAAAGATTAAGATCAAACAGTTGCAAAAAAAAAAACATACTTGGTTATGTCTTTGCATCTTCCCTTGTGTAAATGCCCCCCCAAAGGAATAAGGAACTTATATACATTAGGCTAAGAACTGCCCAAAAAGACGACGTACTTCTCCCAATCACTGGCCAGCGCCAGTTCCGTGACCCAATCGCTGGATGGGCTGTAGTCTCCGGCTGAGCCCGACAACTGCCTTCTTCCATGTGAAAATGAAGACACACACAGAGCTAAAACGGATGAGTTCCAAACCCTAAACCTCCCCGGGTTCCGAGTCTTCCAAGATGGATGTTCTGAAGGCGCTTCCAGTCATCGGTTGTGTTCTTTTTCTTTCTTCATCACGGATCCGGTTGTGGGTCCGTTCATCACCGGTGCAACCAATTGTAAGACTCGCTCCGAGTCTAGAGGAACCGGTGGGATTTTTTGGAGGGTGTGAAGGGGTGGTGTGAAGATCTGACCAACTGTGCCAAAACCCTTCTAGAGTTAACCCGCCCACTGGTTTTAAAGGCCCTGACCCTTCGTGACTGTTACTGTGGCGGGGGGGCAGGGTCCAAACAAAACCTCACAAAAGGTCCAAGCGAAATTGGTTGGCTTAAGCTGAAGCTTACGGCCGAAATCGTTGAGGATCCGGGTATCACATCTTAGGTGGGTTTGATGCCCCCTGCTTGGGGTGATGCTGGGATTCTTTGGTGTCTTGCTTCTGGCCACTGCATCATCCATCACTCCTCGTCCTACTTAGTCTCCGGTAAAGACTTCCCAATGTGAGGGGATGATTCGACGCTCTGCACCTGGTAGCTGTAGAAGTCGTACCAGCTGTTGTAGTGAACCTTTGCAACCAGCAAGGCCGAGCAAAGGGAGTTCGAACCATCAGGTCCTGCGGGGTCCTGGGGGGTGCCTGCGTGCGGTATGGCCAACAGACGCCTTTCACCGAAGAAGCTGGATGTGAAGAGGTCGTCCAGTCTCCAAACCCACCCGCAGCGCAAGGTTGGGAGGTTCTTCATTCAACACCACGACCAACGTTCCCTCAAACACCGTGCTTTGTGTGTAGACCTGTAGCTTCGGGATCCGGTCGTACCTTCTCAGATACGGTGCATGAGGATGCAGCCAACTGTGATTTGCTGGTTTGGTACGAAAACGGATCCCAAACGGGACATCGAGTTACACGTCCAGCCTCCACCAGTGACCCTCTACTTCAGGTCACTGGTCAGTGACCCATTTTTTGTCGGGAGGACCACTCGTCAGGACAAAGCCCCATTTGGATTGAGAAAAAGCTTGTTAAAAAATAACAAATACCTAGCACTTCCAATGGGTGTTGAATGGAGACCTTTTTGAGTATGGGGTTGTCCAGCCAGGTGACCCAGTAGGAAGCAGCTGGTAGTCTACATTCTACATGATTCATGATACTACCCAAAACAAGGGAACGCTTGCGTCTCCTCTGTCCGAAGAGACTGCATGACTCAAAATTGTCTGCATGAACGATCGTTGTGACTCCAAGTCTCCATTTGACATTCACCAACTCCACCGCTGCACAGGGGAGCGTCTCTACCAGTTGCATGTCCCAGACATTCCGACAACCACTATAGGAAAGAAAACAATAGATGGTGAATATAGGCAACCCGCATTTAAACACTCCAGGACTCCACGTGTGTGAAAACGGTTGCACAATTGTACCTAATTTGCATTGGAGTGGTTGACCCGGAGTCAATGTAGGTCATATTCCAGTCCGATGGGTCGTGTCCCGGGGTTTTAAGGGATCACACGAATAGACAGTCACTCACCCAAGCCGGTTAGCCCCCAAATGTGGTATCCCTAAGAGAACTCTTCAGGACTCTTCAGTTACCTGGACGAGATGAACTGAGTTACCTTGGTCACTTTGAAGGTCTTGACTCATTGACCCCAACACCATATATCCCAGACACGACCCATGGGACTGCCATATATGCCTACATTGGGGTGGCTTTGGGGGTCAATGGGGCGGCAGTCCGGACTGGCAGTCCCAGACAAGTCGCGTCTGGGTTGATTTCGGCATAGATACCCGACTGTTTGGGGTATGACTGAAGCCCCATGTGGCTCGCTCCCTGAGACGTGTGGCGAAGGGCCAGTCCTCCAGGTTGGGTGCACCAGGCCAGTCACCCACCCGATCGATGCACGCCGTACTACCGTACCGAACGTGAACGGTTTCAACTCGAAAGCTCCACGAGTGGGTGGAAGTGGAAGCTATGAATAGCTCGAAAACATATTGTTGTAAGCTGTAGTTGCCAGTTAGAGGTGAACACTTATCATCAAGTGCTGCACCCAAAACCTCACTCCCCCTGGTTTTCATTCTCATCTTTGCGCATCTTAGACTCCGAGAGTCAGAGTCTTTCCTCCCAGGCGCCCCGACCATTGGACTGCGCCGGCCAGGGCGTTCCAGGTGCAAGTAAGAGAGGAAAGAACGGCGAGCCTGTAGGTGGTCAGCAGTGGTCCTCACCCACCGGGTCCGTTGTTTCACTTTTCCTCTGTGTAATTCTCACACCTGATTAGCGCTGCGAGGCCTGACCTCATCGCACGCCCCGATGGTAAAAAACTAGTTGCACAAAGTAAGCTGCTCAGGATATTCATCTCTTGTTCTGAGAAGAGACATTTGTGCGGCCTTTGCCCGCGTTTCGATCTGTCTCAATGTTCGCACTGGAAACCTGTGCCAGGATGGTTAGACCCTGTCAGCATTGGACGTGTCCTCTGTGGTTTGTTTTGGGGCTTTCCACCGGGATGCCGGGATGTCGTTGAGTTCTGGGACCTCCAATCCAAGAACATGAAGATAAAACAAAGGCGCTGAAGGTTGTTCGATCAAAAAGAGTGGGCATGTTCATCCCTGAACACACATTGAGTCATCTGAATTGGACCGTAAAACGACCAACGCGGCAACTCAGTCATGTCAAGTGGGGTTCCATGTGCTCTGCTACCCAGCTGTTCAAACATTTGGGCGGTTTGTGCGTGAAGCCGCACCATGGAAGAAACAATTCCAGGAAGCACTTGGGTGACTTGGAAAAACAGAAAAACGTTAAAGCATCATTCGGAATACCGTTTCTCTTTCTCCATCCGAGACTTTCAAATGTTCATCCCACTTTTGCGTACCCCGCAATGCTTCACATTCGCTTCCCATCGCCGCCATAGCCTTTTTGTTCGTCGCCGACGCAGAGAACCGGTGTCGCCCCAAAGCACCACTTCACCGTCCCAGCGCAAGGCTGCGAAGGCTCGGGGCGAGCTCTGCAGTGCCCAAATGCCAGACAACTGGGATCGCACCATGCTGCTGTCACCACCTCAGATGAATCACAAAGCTGGCATAGGGCTAGTCTTCCTGAAGTGGAAAGCTTCAGAGATCGATGTTTTGAAACAAAAACACCATGAGACCGTTTCAGCTGCGCCAAGCGCCGCCAAGGTACCCAAATCTGGGCGGCCCCAAGTCACCACCGATGCATCCGAACGCAAGGCTGCGAAGGCATGACTCGTCGCCTGCACCTTCCTCACGCCCCAAAGCTCATCTTCAACTTCTCGAGTACAGCCACCCGAACGTGAGCACCCCCAAGCAACCACCCGGCCTTAGCGAAGTGGAAGTTGCATGGTGCGGAAGTGGCTAGCTTCCAGAATCGCAAGAGTAAACCCGAAAAATCAAAGCTCACTGACCAACCAAGAATCGGCAAAGTTACATATAATGTTAATGTTACCCTCTTATGTTCACCTTCTCCAAACAAATCTACCAAATCTATCCACATTGGTTAAAAGCTTCGCTGACCCAAGCATCCATCCCTTCGGATTGCTGCGAAGGCTTTGCTAGAAGACTGCAACGCCATCACTCCAAACAATTGATCCTTCACCTGTGTGCAGTCACCTCCGAAGTGCGCCAACCCCCAAGTGATCACGGCGCCGTTCTCCAGCAGCGCCGCAAAGGCCCCCTCCGACGCCTGCACGGCACCAACGGAGGAACCGGAGCCGGAGCCGTCCGTCGAAGAGAAACGCGCTTGGACGTCGGAGGTGAGACCTTGAGTTTGCTGAGACCGGGCACCGGGCCACAAGAAAGGATCTTACTGCAGAAAAGCATTCGCATCAAGAAAATTCGCACCAAAAGCACCAAAAAAAAGCAGCAAAACCAGGATACAGCCGCCCAGGTTGGGATGACCCCATGCAATCAGTGTTCCATCTTCTCGCAGTGCCACAAAGGCCCCCTCTGAGGACTGAAGCGCGACCACCTCGTCGCGGGGCGACCACGGAAGCGCGACCAACATGGAGACGGCGAGAGACGGTGGTTTAAGGTTCCAAGATGGAAACAACTCACTCACATTGGTGGTATGGATTTCTGTGGTTGGTCAATGTGGTATGGGAATCTCCCACATTGACCCCTTTCCACCGCTTTGAACAGTCCGTCACCTTGAGTCTTTAGCTGCCCACGAGAAGGAAATTTAGCAGAACAAAAAAACTGGAATCTCAACCCTTTCTGGTGAAGAAACCCTCGGTCCTTTCTGGTCCTTTCTGGTGGCTCTTTTCTGGTCAGTGAGAAGAAACTTGGGTCCTTTCTGGTGGCTCCGACCCTCGGCGTGCCTTTGGTGAACTCAACTTGAATCGGGCAGCCACTTACGCGAGGAATGGCACCTACCTGCACCTAACATAGTTTTTGACAATTATTGACAATCCCCACCTGTCAGGCGAGGGTCTCTACATTTTATGTCAGTGTTCCGACCTCCTTCCTTTCATTCCCTTCCCTTTCCTCTCCTTCCTTCGCCATGTTCCGGCTACACGCTACAAAGACCTTGGCACGCCGGGCTGCAGAGAGTGGCGCGCATTGGACCTTTCAATGGACCATTGGCGGAAGAAGCGTCAAACATAGGTTGACCAAAACACACGAGGTGACTGAACAACACACATATCAGAAGACTGAACAAAACACATATCAGAAGACTGTCGGAACATATGTCAGAATGGCAGGTTTGAAGCGGCAACAGGTGTCAGAATCCACGACAGAAAAAGTGTCAAAACATATGTCAGACTTGGCGACAGGGCACACATCAGAACACAGGCCAAATAGGATGTCAGAACATCTCAGAACACATCCCAGAACCTTCCCCGCTTGTATGCTAGATGATATGTCAGAACACATACCAGAATTGATGCCAGAAAGCGTTTGTCAGGATAGTCTGTCATGATCACTCGAAGTAAAAGAGATCAGTGATCTTTGATGGTTTCCAACCCATGTGATTACTTAGTGCTACCCAGTCTGACTGGCCATGTTTGGCTCAAAAAAAAGACACATCCCTCCCCCAACGACCTGCTTGAGCTCTTCTTGAACCTCTGAAGCATCACCCCCAGCTCCAGGATTTCCCCAAGCGACCACCGTCCCAGGTCCGCAAGGGGATCTGACCACCGCGGCGAAGGCACTGTGGGTGGCCTAAAAAGCAGGGTGACGTTGTGAGCGCTTGGTGGTCCAGTCGTCTGAGCTGGCAGGGAGGGGATATGGGATGTTGAACATTTACATGAGGAATGCATGGTTTCGTGGATGGATGGAAGCAAAAGGCCCGCTAGATTGCTAGATTGAACATACTATTAGGCTGGAGGTCTAATACAGTGCTCTTTGTCTGGTGGAGCTCAGAATGAGGACACTCACAACCTGAAATTGTGCCAACTATAGGCATCTTGTTATAGTGGAGAGCTCTTGCTCAAACACCGAATGAAGGATTTGTTTGAAAAAGACCACACATAACGCAAGACACTTGCTATTTGCAGCTTGTTAAAGGACCGCCATGATCTCATGGTTTTTCATCAACTCGTGCAACATGTAATTCCCTTCTCCAACTTCTCCGCCGCCCCTGTGGCCACTGACACCAGTAGGCCTGGATCTCCTTCACGTTTTGCAACTGTTCCTGGACACTCTCGTTCACCTTGCCCCCTGCGTGGGGATCGCCCCAAACCGCAACGGTGCCATCGATCTTGAGCGCTGCGAAGGCACGCGAAGTACGTTGGATGCAGCGCACCCCGTGCAGTTGAGCCTGTGACAGTTGCTGAATGTCTGGAAAGCTGTGGGTTCAATGGATGATCCTGCTTGGGTTCCAATGATCATCAAAGATCTCAGGTATTTGGAATAACCCTACGGCCCTTTTCCTTCCAGGACACCGGTAGACCGACCGGTGCAAGGCGGACGTTTAACATAAAACCACGACACGTTTAAGCAAACACCAACGGTCAAATATTGTTTGACACTCTTGCTTCACACTCTTCTCAAAGACATCCTTGAAGGAAATTCAGGGGTGACACTCTTCTAGAGACTCAGTCTTGTGCGACACGCTTCTGAAAGGACACTCTTGTGCCGCACATGCGGGACCCTCGTGTGCCACACTCTTGCTGGACACTGTTTCGTGAGACACCTACGGAGGACACTCTTGTGCGGCACTCTTGTAGGACGGCCATTCTTGTGGGATGCTCTTGTAGGACAGTCTTGTGGGACACTCTTGTGAGACACTCTTGAAGGGCACTGTTGTGGGACATTATTCTGTGCCACTCTTGTCGGACTCTCATGCAATAAGACCTCCCCAGTGACCTTTTGAGATCTCAGAATGAGGTCACTTAGGTCTGAAAAAAGGTCACTGATCAATCCTGTAATTAAAGGTCACTGGGAAGGTCCTGGTGTAGGACATTGTAGGACACTCTTCTAGGACATACTTGTCAGCCACTCAGCCGCTGAACTCTCTAGAAGTGGCACCAAAACTTCCAAAAGTCTCCAGAATTCCGAAGAACACATCAAGCGGAAAAAGAACCTTAATAGATTTCATTAGGCCTTTTGTTGTTTATTTCAATGAAACGAAGCATGGTTCGTCCAAAAGTGTGGCGGAAGTCTCATGAAAGAGAACACGAAAGAGAACACATCACGTGGCCGGGAGCCCAGCACAGAGCCTCACCGTGAGAAAAGCACCAAAATCACGCGGGTCCGTCACGAGACAAGACAAGAAGAACACGGCAGAACCCGTCGCTAGAGTCGCTATACACATTCAATGATTGCTACTGAAATGAAATGATATGAACTCCAATAACGTCACCTGCACATGGCTGCTGTCACCGCCAAAGTCTGCATCACCCCAGCTGACCACAGTTCCATCAGCCCGCAGCGCTGCGAAACTGTGCTCCGTCGCCTGAATCTGCGTCACCTGCTCCAGTTGCTCCTGCACATGAGCACTGTCGCCGCCTTCTTCTGCTCGTCCCCAGGTCACCACTGAACCATCAGCTTTCACCGCAGAGAAGGCGAATGGAGTTGATTGGATCTCCAGGACCTCCGTCACATCGGGCGGAGACGAGCTGGACGAGCTCGACGAGCTCGTGTCCCAGCTTCGAAGCAAAGAGGCACCGGCACTGGCACCGCCCAGCAGGAAGGAGCGGCGATTTGCCACCAGGAAAGCATCATGGAGCACAGCCGTCAAGGTGTCTCCATCCCTGATGCCAGCATCACGGAGGGAAGATGAAGGCTTTAATGGAGCCCCATCCTCAAGTTGGTTTGCCATGATGTCGTGGAGTTTTTGATCGAATATCTTGATAGACCGCAAAAATGCGCCAAAGCAAGGGTTCAATTGGTAAACGCTACAGTAGTATGTCACCGCTGGTCACTGAATTCAGTCTAAACTCATATTAATGTCACCACTGCCATTTCAGGACTGGATTCTGTCCCGCCCAAAACAACTGGATCCGAGCAACGTAGCACAGCCGTAGGACGCCCTCGGGTCGTTGGGGCAACTTCTCACAGATTCGCAGCACCAGCTGCCCGATGGTCTCCTCTTCGGTGGAGACCAACAGTTGGCGTCCACTGACGAAGAGCACCTTCACCAGAACCATATATGGTCATTGGGTGGCCATGTTGTTGTGTCTATAGATGCCATTGATGCCATCATCTAGATTTCAACAGAGACATCTGCAAACATCTGCGAACTGCTTGTTGAGGGCCGAAAATGCGGGTTGAAACCTTCTGGGTGAAATCACAAACAAATCTGGAGCCGTTCCAACAATTGAGCTGTGCTTTGCATATATGATCCTGGTGTTTGAAAGGGCTTCCCAATGGCCGTAGAACGCACATGTATAGGCACCACGACCTTCCCAGTGATGGGTTTGGAGATCTGAGAACCAGGTCGCTTTGGTCTGTAAAGGTCACTGGGAAGGTGGTGTAGGACATTGTAGGAGACTCTTCTAGGACATACTTGTCAGGCACGGCTGGCCGCTGAACTCTCTACAAACTTCCAAACTGTGACTGCTTCACATGGCTCGCGAGCGAGCGAAGCCGAAGTTCGCTGCGGAAGGAGCGACGAGCGACGACACAAGGTAGAAGACTGAAAAGAAAGCCTTCCAACCTAATAGCGATGGCCTCCAGTCTAATAGCGATGGCCTCCAACCTAATAGCGATACTCGGAGACCTACAATGCCACCTCCGCCCCAAAAAAAGCCTTGCCCGGACACGACCTCTCTAGGACCGGAAATCATTTGATAGTGCTCCAGAAAGACTCCGACCTCTCTGGGACTGGAAATCATTGATATATGAGAAAGCCCCCCCCCCGGGTGAGAGTGTCTCAATGGAATTGATTGGAGTATTTGAAGTGAGGTCAGCCACTGAGGTTGGTCCCATCGCGGGACCCAGAAGTGGGCTGCGTGACCCTTCTTTTGCATGCAAATCCACTGGAAACCACGAGATACCACGAGCATTGACTGGTCAAAATAGACCCTGCTGATTGTTGCTCTGGGAGTCAGTCCAACCATTCATTCAGGTTCTTTTAATAGCACGCAGGTGCACGGTGCAGGAACCTGCCTTAACTTCAAATGAGGGCATCTTGGAATCCCTGGACCTTCTATAGGGTTCCTAATCTTTGGTACCCTCCGCTGTGAAGGTTCTTCGGACCTGGAAGGGAACTGGCCGGTGGGCCGGGTCCATAAGGGTGCGGACATATATTCCCGTCCCATGCATGGTCTGGGTATAACAAACATCTGTCATTTAAAAACAAGATGCCGGCAGACCCGACGTCAAGCACCTTTTAGAAAATGGGACTCTGGTACTACTGGTACCAATGTTCCGCAGTACGTTGAAACGTATGGTTAACCATATTTGGCTATATATATATATATTATACACATTAGGGTGATGTTTGGATTGTTGCTTTTTTGACTCATTGGTGACTCATGTTGACGGTTTTTCTAACTCTTTCAGTCCCATCTATTGCTGGGCCATACAGAGCCAATACAGAGCCAGACCCCTTGTTGGCCGCCGATGACCACTGGTGACCGCTGCGAGAGCGCTCGCGCTCATGGACCGTGTTTGTCCATCTTTATATAGGTCGAAGAAAATAAATGGGATGATTCAGGGATGACCTTCCCTAGGACTCCAAGTACCTGCTGAGGTTCGGTGGGGGTGGGTGCCAGGAGGGTCTAAGTACCGAACCTGAGGTGGTACGACTGGAGGTGTAGGGCTTTCCCAGTGTACTTCTTAGTTGATCGAAAACAGATGGTTGTTCCATGTGTTCTTTACAGTATGTTATTCAACAAAAGTCAGCAGCAGGATCAAACAAAGTCACATAAGCAGGTAAAATCGCGTAAATGGTTGGCAAAATTGCGAACCTGGGTGACCGGCAATATTTTGAGGTCATTCAGGTTCTAGGTATGTTCCATAACGTCCCTATAACTACTTGGGAGAGTTTGTGAGGCTCTCTATTAAATGTTACAATTGACCAAACGAATCCAACATGGACCAATTCAGAGATCTTGCAAGTGTTCGTGTCTTCCACTGGACAACTCTGCATCTCTCTGCATGTTCCTTCCTCCATGGCTCCTTCCATGTCTACCTGCACTTCTTCCTCCTCTACCTGCACGGGCTCAGCCCGTCACATCCACTGCCGATGTCGCACCTGCGAGGCCTCTTGGAAGGTGCCGATCACGAAGCTGTACTCCCAGGGGGCCTCAGAACGAAGTGAGTCGCAGAAATCCTGGGAGAACATCTGGGAGAACCATGGCACCATGGTCTTCAAACATCGTGGCACCATGGCACCATGGTCTTCAGGGGAGAAAGCAATGCACAAGTATATGAAAAAGTACTGCAATATATGTGTGTCAATGGATCGATTGAACCTGTTTGGGGAAGAAGCTGGAATTGTGGAGAGAACTGCTCAGTGCCTTCTTAGCCTCCAACTGCTCAGTGCCTTTTCACTCCCTCTCTCCCCAGTTCTGGAAGTTCCGCTCGTCGGGGGTGGGGGCGTCGCTTCGAGTTCGCTCCCTGCTTCTTGGGAATACAGACTCGTGCTTAAGGAAAAAGGCTGAAGAAGGTAATGGATCCGTATATGGCATCTCTTGTGGGGGTTCACTCCCCTCATTCTAGAAAGAAGCACACATCAGTTTCGATCCTGTTCTGCTTTCCCCCCAGACCCCATGAGACCGTTTCAGCGTTGCTGCGAGCCGCTCGCGGACCCGCCTCTGGCGTGGGCTTCGCGAGGCTCTTCAGGTGTTGGATCTCTCCCGTGAGGTCCTGGTACCTGGGGATGTGTGCGAGCGAGATCCGAGGGGTAGGTAGGAGGGGGTAGGGAGGGTGAGGTGGAACTCGTATGGCTTTCCGACTACGACTAAGACCATCCTCCAACATCCTTTCACAACAGAGGTGGAGTTGGAAAGTTTTTCTGAAAGGATAGGAAGTCTGGTTGGGCCGTTGGGCCCAAAGATCTTCAAACGGAAGTTGGGGTAGAAGGAAGTCCCGGACACGACCTATGGGACTGCCATAGGACTGCCGATCAGTTGGGGTGGTTGAAACGGGGGTCCATGGGGCGGCAGTCCTATGACAGTCCCAGACAGGTAAGTGGTACTGGAAGTGGTACTCCTTCCATCCACCAATTCCACCAGTTCAATGGTTCTCCCTTTGATTCAGGTTCCACCTTCCGAGAAAACGAAACACAGTGGTTTAGTAGACCCTGAAAACCATGCTTTAGAAGTTCACATAGACTTTGCCCCACTGAAGTACCAACATGTCGGACATCAGGTTTTGCGTTTTGCGACCCGGCCCGTGTTTACAGTATTGGACTCCGCAGGGCGTGCATTTACCTTGCAATCCTAGAGAGGTTGAAGAGCCCCATAGCCCATCCCATATGTACCACAGACCAGGGTCCTATAAGGTCTCTAAACCTCTCTGGGATGGCAATACACTTGATACACTCCTCGAAATCATGTGCCTGGCCGTGGATGGCATGGCCCCGCATGTTCGACTCGGATGACCGCTGAGAGTCTCACCACCAAGGTAGTGACCACCGTAGTGACCACCGTCACGAATTCCTCCAGCCACACCAGTTTTCTTCAGGTCTAGGTGGGTCCAGGTGGTTTTCTTCAGGTGAAGTGTCTGGGATTGTCTGGGTATATGAAGACTCTCATCAGTTGGTTGCCTTGTGGGGTCCTGTGATATTCTCAGGACCCTCGACCACCCAGTCCCACGAGAGTTGTGGGACTAGTTGACCGATCCGTGGTGCAAATCATCAAGATGCCATAGCAGGACGTCCTTCAGTCCTGAAGTAGGGTGATTGGTGGCTACCAGGGTGTTCATGAAGTATCATGAAGTACACTTCCCAGGCTGCCCCAGCTGCCCCCAGCACCCTCCAGTCGAGGTGGAGCCCCTGGAGTCGAGTCGAGACGAGCTGGGGCGTCGTGGCTGGACACAGCCCACTACCCCCAGACACGACCTGTCTGGGACTGCCAGGACGGACTGCCTTCAAAACGGTCAGGGGTGGTGGTTTGGGGGTCTGGCTGGGGTGGGATCTATTCCATGCATGGAGTGTCTGGGTACTTCGGGATCTCCAAACAGGACAGCTTGCTCCAGCTCTGCGCCATCGCCATGGAGTCCAAGTGGCTGGGGCCCTGCGGTGGCCTTTGCCGTCATGACGGCCATCGGGTGCTCGACCTGATGTCCATTCAGCGCTTCGCCACGCGGAGCCGCGACAGAAGGCGGACGGTGGACGTGCAACACAACTATATATATAGTAGCTTTGTTGAGAGCAAGCGTTCATAAGATTATAAAGTTGTGAAATGTTATTGTTTAAAAAGATTAAACAAATATATATATATATATATACCCAGAGCTTCCAACGTCGCAGTTTAACTAAGACATAGTCCAATGATCAAGTTAAACTTAGTCAACACAGTTCGTCTAAGTTTCACTCACCTAAGATTTTCCATGATCCTGATATGTTTCCAAAGAATTCTCCAGAAAACAACAAATCCCACAGAAAGTCTCCAAAGACTTCGGTCTTTTTTTCACAGTGAGCGGTGGTCTCGTTTTCTCACCGCTTTGGGGATTTGCCAACTCAAAGTGAGATATCGCAAGCGTGCATAGCGAAGGATCCCATGAACTCGACCGCCTTTGTTCTTCAGTTTACCCCGTGCGTCCGACTTGACCGCCCAACGCTTCAAAACACTCATCTGATCTTCATCCGTGAAGGTGTGATGAAAACGAGGGTTTGTTCCTTGGATAGGGCAGGCTGCGGATCAGTGGCATTCCAACAACTAATATAATATAATTGCAACCCATGGCACTGTATCGCAGCACTGTATCTAGCAGGATTTCTGCAAAAGCCTTGTTTTCACAATAGTGGTTTGCTGGGCGGTCTCTCATGAGAAACTGTGCACGCAGCGACCTTCTTGCTGCTAGGAGACATGCCATTTAGGCACAAGAACCCACGAGAGTTCAGAGATCCTGCAAGTTTGGTGTGAGTGCGCCAAAGCTGGTGAGTCCCACCGACATGCAACATCATGTGCAAAAGCTAGAAAACTCCCAAACTCCTGTTGCTCATCCTGTTCAACTGCGCAAATCCCAAGAGATATGTGCGACCCGCCAACTCAATCTCATTGGATTCTTGTACATTCCTGGGTTGGGTTGGGAGTCATTGTCAAATTGAAATCATTGGAAAGTGCGTGTTCCTTACAATCTAGAAAACTCCCAGCCCTAGAGAAGCGGACGCTGGGCAATGGATGCTGCCATCAAGGAAAGCTTCAAGGCCCTTCCAGCGAGTTCCGTGAGGGAGAAATATCGGTTGATGGCCTTCCTGGGCAAAACCATGTCCTAATGAAGAGTGGGTTGTTCCATTTTTTAGATATTTGTTCAACATAGAAACAAAAAATAACAAGTATTTGAGGCTATCATTCTTGGTTTGAGCTAGGATTCAAGGTGGCAAGACATGTTGAAAGGCGTCCATCAGCCAGCATACCCGCAGGAGGTGTCCAAGTAGCTCTTTCCAGGACATGTTCCAACCAAGCAGACACAACACGGGCATTGTAGCCCTTACAGTTCATGAAAGTTCCATACTCGTCCCGAAAGATTGTCCAATAGACAAATTTTCTTTGAGATGAAGTGATTTTGTTCGCACGTGTCCAACGGAGGAAGTCCTGATAGGCCTTCTCACATGGTTCCCGATATTCAGCAGGTTCACCCCGTTTGGCAATAACCCCGAAGAAGTGCATGTGCATCAACATTGCCCTAGGATGCAGGTCAACATGCCCTGTGACTGATTCAAAGACAAACAACCTATTATCTCACAAGTTCAAAAAACAAGTGAAGAAGCTTTTTTGAATTTGAACAGGACACAAGGTGGATCCGTTTGATATCCCCAAAAGTCCCAAGTTCAGCACGTGAAGCTGGCAATGACGGATTGATGCCAGTGCAAAGAAATCCACATTCACCAAGGGGCCTCAGATTCTTGATGGTTGGACCCCAACCTCCGATCCTCACTTTGACAAAGATAATCCCAGTGAACAGTTTTCCACCACTGAACTGACCCTCATGAAAAAATGCATTTGTTTAGGAAAGAAACTCATTTCCAGTGGTAATTCATGTGTCAGAAAGTCTTCTGTGCTTCGCCTGGTCGAGGTCCACCCATCATAGATTGCATAGTTCAAACTAGTTGGTGCCGTGGAGGCTTCACATCTGTAACAAACAGAACTCCGTTTCCAGAAGGAATGATGCTGAAACAGAAACCTGATCCAAACTTGATCACCACGGATCTCTGTAAGTATATAGCGGCGTCCTGCGACACCTCTTTGGGTGCATGTGTTCAGAGAGACAACGATTCTTTCCAATAGTGGATTCACTGAACGGTGAACGTCAACCATCGTTGATGTTTCTAAAGCGAAAAGCAGAAATCGTGAAATCCTCGTAGATCGCGGTCTAAATATTGGAATGTTCATGAACACTCCAAGTATTTTTTCATAAGGAGCATTCTGAAGTGCCATCGTTGCCTCATCTCCGTGTAATCCGATTGGCCAAATTTGATTTTGGCTCAAATCTCTAAATTGTTTGGACTTGATGGCAACCTCCTCACCCACAGAATCCATATGCTCCCAATATTGTCGACAGCTTTCCTCCGGAATCTGAAGGCCGCATTTCTCCACAAGATAGATCAATATATCTTCTGGCAGGAGACATGGTACTTTGGTAGTATAGGCTTTATCAGAAATAGGATCCTTCAACTCCACATCAACCAGAGTTGGCTCCTAGGATTCAGCTCGATAACTTTCAGTTCGATAACCTAAGACAAGTTACAACTGCGTTCGACAATGTTCGACACATGTTCAGTCCAAAAGTCCAACGGAAGTGGTGTTTGTCGAAAGAAGTCTCTGGCACAGTTCCGGCCTTTGGCATAGTTTGCTAGCTTCGTGGTCCAAGCCGTTGCGTTTCCACCTGCCTCCTGACCAAAACAGATTACTATATAGGGATCTAGGGAGGGAAGGAAAACAGTAGCAGTTCTTCAGCGTTGTGTTTCCACCTGCCTCCTGACCAAAACAAATACTATTTCAAAGAATCCAAACTGAAAATATGGAGAACAAGTCTCTTCAACTTCAAAGAATCCAAACTGAAAATATGGAGAACAAGTCTCTTCAACTTCAAAGAATCCAAACTGAAAATATGGAGAACAAGTCTCTTCAACTTCAAAGAATCCAAACTGAAACCGAAGACATCAAAGGAACGGTTCTCCCATCTCCTCGTGCGCCGCCCTGGCTGTGGAGACAGCTCTGCGCTGTTGAAGCCTTTGATCAAAATTGCAGAAAGCTTTAAATTGTTTAATGTGTTAAATCAATTGATAGACTCTCACGATCACAGTTGCAGAACATGTTAAATCTATAGACTTAGACAATCAATTTAGTGATTCATCCCAGCAATGCTAATTCTCTAAGGAACATTTGATGCTAGTTCTTCCACCAGATTCCTCTGAAGTGGTCCGACTGACGATGATTCATCAGCACCTGCATACAGGAGATCGTGACAAGTGTTGTTTGTTGTGCGTTGCGTTGTGTGCACACACACTGAAAGGAACTTGCCCTTGTATATTGAGTTTCGATCTCGACTCAACAAGTTCAGAAAACGTAATCAGCTGAATGCATTTGCTGGCCTCAAAACCTAACCTCAACTTCACAAAATAATGGAGTGAACTGAACGCACAATATTTTGTCGCAAAGTCGATCTATGGTTCACCGTCTCGTGAACATGCCAGTGAATGATCGGTTTGTTCGATCTTCAAATCAGCACACCAGCTACCAGCCAGAATTAACGAATGAATTTGGATGGATTTGGCAAAACCCTTTTTGTCTTAGACTGTGTAGCTGGAAGGCCTGAAACCTTGCACCCCTACAACGCAGGTTGTATACCCCACAAGGTCCTGAGATCGGTAGGCTTCGTTCTGCTAAAGAAAAACAAATATCATTTACTTACATGGGTTTCCAACATATTTGAGTAACACTTCAACAATTTTGTCAAAACGATCTGTATGATGACATCAACATTTCTAGACATACATACTGCTCTAGTCCGTCTTGGCCTTTTTGGCCTTCTTAACCTTTAGGGGACCGCACGCCGTCTCGAGCCCTTTTCGGGCTGCATCGCATTGCTCAATCAAATCTTCATTCACCTGGCAACGGTTCCACATAGCACACGAAAAGGAGGAACCTTATTGGGTGTTCATTCAAATCTAATCTAGTGCATCAGCCTTCGACTGGTCCAAAGCGGTCTGGAGATTTTTGCGGGATTCCTGCGACGCTGAGAAAGCAACGACCATTTCGAATATATAGGACACAAACTAAATCTCTCCTCCAATGACTTCTGTTTGCTCTCGATGTCGTCTTTGACGGACTCTGCATACTTATCACCCCTAGGCCAATGTCAATTTAGTTGTCACAAGAAAAGCTATCACTAACAGACAACAATTGTCAATTTCATTAAATGTCATACAATAATCTCTGGGATTCAGACAAGGAAGATAGATTCGGCATCAAGTCGAGGCACCATTTGATCTTGTTGCTTGCTTCTGCGACAGCCTTCAATTTGAAGAACAACCAACATTATGTTGGGTTTGCATTTGTATATCGAATTTCTTACGGATTACACCCAGGCCTTCTTGGCCTTCTTTACCAATTCCTTGCTTCGCTCAATCTCTTCTCGCTTCAACCTTTCCTCCTCCGTTTCCTTCCCTGTGTTTTTGTCTTTATCCTTATCACTCTTCTTGTTCTTCTTGCTCTTCTTGTTCTTTTTTGCTTTCTTTTTTGTCTTCTCTTTTTTTCTTTCTTATCCTGTTCATCTTTCTTCGTGTCCTAGTTGGGTTGTCATATGATAACTTAAATCACATAGCAAATATTATGTAGAGAATTGCAAAGATATCGATTTGATATATATTATGGGATGCAGTTTGTGCGTTTGTCTCCTTGCGCTTGGTGCTTTTCTCCGACGAGCTCGAAGAGGAGTCAGAATCTGCGTCCAGGCATTGGTAAAGCGTGTCAATCTCTTCACAACATTCTGTCTCTTCGGAATCGTCACACAGGATGAGGAATTGCATCATCTCCTGGTGTAGGCCACTGGAACAATATCTAGATAACAAAACATGTGGAAGCACACGTTAATCATACATTGGAATATGC